AAGTTTTATCCTGCAATCCATGAACAAGTTTAGTAGCCCTTCTCTGAACTCTCTCTACGGTATTAATATCCTTCTGAAGATACGGTCTCCAGTATTGCGTACAATACTCCAAGTGAGGTCTCACCAGTGTTCTGTACAATAGCATGAGCACTTCCCTCTTTGATTTCAGGCAACAACTCACTGAACCAAAAATGTACCTCTGCTGAGCCATCTTACAGCCGTGTGAAGCAGCAGGTCTGTGTGTTCAACACCTGTCTCCTCCAAGTGAGCCCTGCATAACCTTCTCTGTAGACTCCTGGCCAGAAAAGAGCACACTATTTTCATAGCTACCTCCATGACTTCTTTCCTATTTAAAATCTTCCCACACAATGCTTGCTGACGAATAATACAATGATAATTAAGAATGTCCGGGAAAGATTCACTTTGTTTGCACAATGCAATGAACCCACTAGTGTGGCCTACCATTGCTGGAGCTCCATCAGTTGTGATAGAGATGAGCTTGAAAAGAGGCACTTGGCTCTTGTTAACAAACTCCATGAAAGCGTTGAAATCATCTTCGCCTTTTGTGTGTCTTTTCAATGGCAAAACTGTGAGCAGCTCTTCTGTGGCACTCATGTCATCAAAAACCAATCTGATGAAAACACATAAGTGAGCCACATCCACCATATCAGTCGACTCGTCGAACTGGAGGGAAAAACACTCACATGCGTCAATGTCCTTCTTCAATTGCTCCTCCACATTCTCTACAATCACCTCACATCGCCGTGTAACAGAATTCCAGGATAATTGCATGTACTTAACAGCGGCAGCAATCTCTATTTTGTTCTTAAAATCACCAAAGAGTGAAGAAATATTTATGATATACTCATGATATTGATGATGACACAGTACCAAGGCCTGAATCACATAAGTATCACTAAAACTTATATAAGGCAGGTACGTCTGAAAAAAAATAAAAAAATAACCAAAGCCTGCATCTGCATCCTCAACGAACGCTTCTTTCACAACTTCGCCATCCTTGAAAGACTTATGTTTAGCAAGAACATGACTGACTCGATATGATGCAATGGTGGCCGCCTTACCCTTGGTGTTGGGCCTCGTAAAAATGAATTGCCGTGGTGCAAGCGGACTCTTCAATTCCTGCACTTTATAAATGCATAGAGGAGTTTTAGCAGGCAAATCTGGCTCATAGTTTTTGTGCACTGTTCTGAAATGCTGCTCCAGATTGCCCTTTTTCGGTATGGCCACACTGAGATTGCAAATGAGACAAATGGCCTTTGAGTAAACAAAAAAATAATCCTCCTCTCACTCTGAATGAAAATGGTAAGATTTACTTTAATGGTGGCGAATACTACACCAATGAACCTGTGACCTGGCACACACTGCAAGTCGACATCAGTATAGGCATATGGTATGTGCCGCATGTGCGCGCAGCACACTACCATGCGTCCCAGCGGCACTGTGTAAGGGTGTGTGTGCGTGCAAACGACCAGTGGCAGCAGAGCCGGACTGGGAAGAGAATGCAAAAAAAAAAAATGATTCCTGCCTTATAATTCGTGTCACATAGTGTGTTTTTATTTTCTTATATTCACTACAGACAGACTCCCACCTCCCCTGTCCCATAGTATTTCCTCCCCCCCCATACCCTCTCCCAAAGTATTTCTTTTGCTCCCTTCTCCTATCTCAGTGTTCCTCCCCCCATCTCCTATGTGTCTCCTACCTTTCTTGTAACGTGGTCAAGCATAGCGGACCGTTGTACAATAGCTTAAGTTTCCTGTACCCAGTCGGACTGACAGCAAGTGTGCGCCTACCTCCTGCCATCGCGATCGACTGAGAATCAGCCCAGTAGTAAAGTAAACACACAGTGGTGTAAGATCTGACTGAAAACAATAGAGGCTGTAATTAACAGTCAGGGAAAAACTGACTAGTGTAGTACAAACAGAAACACAAATGATTTAACTCCTAAATGGCAGAGAACTGAGCAGTGAGACTGCAGGGGCACGATCTATACACCAAAACTGCTTCATTAAACTAAAACTGTTTTTGGTGCTTAGAAAGTTCCTTTAAGGCCAAAATGAACAAGTAGCACTACTGAGGCTACTCTGGCCTAAATGTTAAGTATTTAGCACTTGCAGTGCAAAGCAGACACATTCCTGTCGGGTGCTGCTGCTGTCTTCATGTAGAAGGCCTTGCGTCCGGTGGCAGTAATTGCTTAATATGTCAGTACACTAGATTGATTCTCCATATACTTGACCTTCTCACGTATGGTTCTCTTCTCTTTATATCTGCTATATCTGGCTTCTTGACTGCTAGCAATTTTACTTGGCTGTATTATGTTTTCATGATTCTTGTTGCTCGACTGATCTACTTATCCTAAACATTGGCTAAAGGGCCACCAATCTTGCATTTAGTCTGCTGCTGCGGAGATCAGGGGAGTTGGTGATGTGACCCAATAACACAATCACGCAGACAATAGAACAATAGAGAGAGATCCTATTATGGAATAATAAACATTTATTACCAGTCCTTAAGAGTTGATGGATTTAACGCAGGGCCTCTGTAGTGTGAAACACCCCTGCAAGCAGCTAAAGCATAGTCAGGCCAAGGTAAACAATTACATACGTACAATAGAACGGTAAAGCAAACCAAGGAACACAGAAAATCTGAGTAATCAAATAAAGCTGGGTTATAAGCAATAAAAGCACAGTTTAGTAGTTAAACCCACTCTTGGGTAGCAAGACACCACGACAGAGCATTGACTGAATGAAGCAAGGTATATGGTGCTGAAAATGAGTTGGAGCTGCTTCGAGTTTAGAATGAGATTTGGGAACTGGAGAGGAGATGGGAAGGCTAGTTAACATAGGGGAGCTGGCAATGAGATGGGGATAGTAATGAGGTGGACATCACACCGGGCTGAAGAATAGACAGGTGGGGCTGGTGAAGAGATTGTGCGGTTTGGAGATGAGATTGAGGTTTATAGGGACACTATAGTCACCAGAACAACTCCAGCTTATTGAATTTGTTCTGGTGAGTAGAATCATTACCTTCAGGCTTTTTGCTGCAAACACCGTCTTTTCAGAGAAAATGCAGTGTTTACATTACAGCCTACTGATAACTTCACTGGCCACTCCTCAGATGGCTGTTAGAGATCCTTCCTGGGTCATGACTGCCTAAAATGCATCCAAACATTTAGTATCTCCTCCCACTGCATGCAGACACTGAACTTTCCTCATAGAGATTCATTGATTCAATTCATCTCTATGAGGAGATGCTGATTGGCCAGGGCTGTGTTTGAATCATGCTGGCTCTGCCTCTGATCTGCCTCTTTGTTAGTCTCAGCCAATCCTATGGGGAAGCACTGTGATTGGATCAGGCTACCACTTCTGATGATGTCAGCAGACTGCTTGTTTTTATGAGGCAGACATAGCAGAGCCAGCAGTTGCAGGCTTGAATACAGTAAGATTTTGCTATATTTATGGAGGCATGACGGGCCCTGGGGGGCTAATTGGTGGTTTTAACTTTATATGGTCAGGAATACATGTATAGTGATCCTTTAATGTTTTTTTTTTTTTTTTCCAATTTAATGTTTTCGTTCATCCCACACACGTGTGCACCATGCTGACATAATTCAGTACTAGTTTGGTATAAAATCAATTCCAGGGCTGTTATATATTGTCTGCTTGGCCTTAGGTAGGTTAAAAAAAGGATTATAGAACATGACAACATTTTTAAAACTGTTTGTACTACATTCAATAGACATATTTATGCCCACCGAACTGCAGCACAGTTAAACATTGTATTGTATTATTTAGTTGCTTTCATTCTGTTTTTCTAAAATAGTTCAGTTTCCCTGGATACAGAATGTATAAACATGAAACCTTTCCATCGATGGTTCTACACGTGAAAAGGAGTAATTTGTTTGCCACTAGGATTGAAATGCGGCAAGGACAGACAAGTTTAGTGACCATTTTTTCATATAACTTAACATCTTATCTTATTATGTTTAAGGAATTTGTATTAACAAAACTGAGTATTGAGAGCTTATGATACATTTATTGAATAGAACTCTTTTTGAATACACTGCTTATGTGTTTACCAAACATGTCACTCTCCTAAACTGTACCTGTATTTATCCCAACAGAAAACTGGTGGGGTCAGTTTACTAAACCAGGAATTGTACAGAATTAGTAGGAAATTGTAGATTTGAGTCCAAATCTGATGAACTGTAAGCTATACCTCCCTCCCCAAAATAAAAGTGCAATTACCATGTATTATTTAATCATGGCCAATCCCTACTTTCACCTTTAGTGAATAAACACCCTAAGTGGTTTTCACTTATAAAAAATAGCTATCTTTCCAGTTGTGAAAGCTGCAACTCCCACAATCCTTTTGCCAGATTTTAGATTGCTCAAGTTAAAATGAACTAGACTAGAGAACTATGGTTTCGTTTGGCAAGCCACCAGAGGAGATGCTATTCAACTCAAGCTGCATCCTTCCTAGTAGATGGGAATTATAATTCATCACAAGCTGGGAGTCCACATTTTGCTTAGTGTAGAAAACACATTTCACGTGTTTTAAAAGGTATTGCCACATGGCGTACTATTAATCACGGCATTACATCTTGCCTAGCAATCAAATCTCACAGTCATTTTTTATTTTCCAGTAGCCTGTAATTTAGGATTTATATTCACTAATCAAACTGCTTTTCCGCAGCAGTTTTATCAAAGATTTTATGTTTCTGATGAAGGTTGAATCAAATAATCAGCAATTTCGAAGAGGTAGTGATATACATCAGTCCGCCTGGCGATCTCATAAGCAGTTTCGCCGACTTTATTTTTCAAGTTTGGTTTGATGTAGCGATTCATCAACAAAAGTTCTAGAATCTGACGGCTGTCTCGGTTCCCCGAAGCAAGGTGTAGTGGGGTCAGTAAGCCTTGAGTTTGGGCATTGATGTCTGCCCCATGTTGAAGTAAAAATGAGGCTACTGGAGTGTTGTTCCACTTGCACGCACTGTGCAGAGGGGTCCATCCATCTACTGTAACAGCATGCACATTAGCCCCTCTGGCAATCAGCTCCCGCACTATGTTAAGGTGACCGTTGTAGGATGCTCTGTGGAGTGGGGTGTAGTGGTCTTCATCAATGGTGTTCACTAGATCTGGCTTAGTGGACAGAATTTGCTGAACTGTGTTGAGCTGCAAGAAGGAAATGTCTTAGTTAATTTCTGTTGCTAAACATAACATGCTCCACCTCTAATGGCTGTCTGTCAATATAAAACTCATGTGACAATGGCTAAATGTAGAAATTAACGATTAAAGCACCATCTATAAAACTGAACCAAATTGTTGTGTTCTCTGGAGCAATTCACAAACTACCTGAACAGTTACACTAACGGTAACCTTCATTGCCTTAGTGTAAAAAGATAATGATATAGAAATATACCACCCCCCCCCCCGCCCCAGGTAAAAATAGAACTTGATATCTACAAAATCTTGATGACAGGTATCAATATATTTTCAACAGGATTGCTCTGCCTACTCTGTTGTTTTCCGCTGCAAAAAGGAGCAATTCTGGGGGGTTGTCTTCCAGTTCCTTCTCCTGCATTTGATACCATTCTTCTGGTTTTTCTTCCGTTTCTTCATCAGACTCTTCAGGCCAGAGGCTCTGCGTCCCAGTGGGAATTAGATGTCCATGGGTCTTCAATAGTTCGAGCTGGTTGAAGTCTTCAGGAAAGTCCATGAGCTTCTCATGCAGGTCACATTCAAACTCATTATTTCTTTCTAGGTAATCATCTTTATCATCCTGCACTTCAGTGACAGCTTCTTGCACTGTATTTATCTTCTCTGGAGAACTTGTCATCTGAAAAACACAACAGGAGTCTAAAAAATGGGAAGCAATACTTTGATATTTTTCACATCATAAAAAGACAATTTTTTATAAACGTTTTAAGAATGATTCTCTATCTATATGCGTGTTTCGAAAACGACACAACATTTTTTAAATTAAAGAGGGCTCACATGCTGGCAAGCTGTGATTCTGAGCAATGTAATCTAAATTGTCAGGTTTGGAGAATATGTGCATAGTTCAGTTCATTATGGATTTGGTATGTGGATAAGCAATCAATCCAGTAATTAATTAGGCCAGTTAAGTCTTCCTGCATTCCTGAAGTGGTAAACCAGTAAAATAAATTATATTTTCGTTATTGTCATTTATAAATGGTATATAAAACTGATAGAAATAATCAGCACAGATCAAATTACCTACACTTAGAAGGCGGCTGTATCACGTTGTGAAAATATAACCAGGTTCTTCATAAGAAGGAAAAAGAACATTAACGAAAAGTAATAATAAAAAAAGCTACATACACAGTTGTGTTAATGAAAAATCTTATTTTCTTTTCCTTTTTACAAAATGTTTCCGCTTTTCACTCTCCATGGGCTAATACATCATTTAATCACACCATAGGACAGGCAGAATATGTTTTTATCACATCCCTATTCAGAGCAACACTCTGCCATAGCTGGGATTAGCTGTGATAAAGACAAATAACATTATTATGATCGATGGGTATTGCATTATAAGCAGGCCCAATTGTTATAGAAGTATTATCTTTTGTCCTCATCTGCTTCAGAAAGCATTACTTAATCGTACACCATAGGTAGTGTCACACATCATTATCATGATAAGGGCCCATGAGCTAGACATATTATTAATGCACTTGCACATGACGTCAACAGCATTATATATATTACCATATCTTTCAGTGTACGCAAGGTAAAACACTCAGAGGCTCATAGTAAAAAATAAAATTACTTACTGCATACATATTTTTGTGTTTTTTTTTCTCCTCTTTTGTTTTCCATATTAAAGAATCCCAGGAATTTAAAAGTTGTGGTAATAAAAAAAAAAAAAAAAAATCTACTTGCCCTAGCAGGGGTAGGCAACCTTTGGCACTCCAGATGCTGTGGACTACATCTCCCACAATGCTATTATAGCCAAAATTCTGGCAAAGCATCATGGGGTTGTTGTCCAAAACATTTGCAGTGCCGAAGATTGCCTATCCCTGGTAGAAATGGCAGCTATAATAGTAGCCCAATCTACCTGTCCTGACACACAAAATAATTTTAAAATGGGAGACCTGTCAGGATAATGACAGGGCCATTCACTAAATTCCGTATTTACACAAATTAAATCCAAATGAACAGACAGAGACAATATGTATTTGGAAACTCTCCAACTTAGCTATAGTCATAACCTTTTGCATCAGTTTTACCATTCAGATTTAACTTGTGAAAATATTTGTGAAATCTGCCACCCTCCCCTATAGTTTCTCCCTTTGTCTCAGTGCCAACTGTGTGTATTGTTTGCTGGCTGTGTGTATTATGCGTACGCGAGGTTTGCTGACTGCATATAATGTGCGTGTGTGTGATGTTGACTGTGTGTAATGTTTGCTGGCTGTGTGTAGTGTGTGTGTGATGTTTGCTGAATGTATATAATGTGCGTGTGTGAGGTGTGCATGCAATGTGTAGTGTGATGGTTGTAATTTACTTAATTTGCCCTGCGGGCATTTTTGTTTTTCCAATTTCTCTTTTTATTGAAAATGTCAAGGGTTAACAGAGCATTGGTCAAAATGCAAGGGTTACATGACAGGAACAGGCATCCACATGATAATGTGAATATACAAGATTGTATACACTAACCACATTTACTCTATTAACATGACATAAATAATATCACACAGAGCTATTGAGTTCCCAAGGTAGTAGATGTATTCACAAAGAAGAGAGTGTAAAATACATCTTAAAACATAGTACAGGTATCTAAAATTCCTTAAGTCTGACTTCATACACATATCACAGTATGCCCTGTTGTAGTGTTAGGATGTTACCGGAGGAATAACAGGAACAAACCGCAGAAGCCACACATAGAGATATGGGCACAAGTCTTCAGGAAGTAACAGGTCTTTTATTTACACACCGATCGGGTCTCACACTGAACTTGTGTTCAAAAGGTATGAGCCCAGAGCATAGTTTGCACAGGCTATTTATTAACAATACCTCCTCCCATTCATAGCTCCACTCACACATACCCTTAGATCAATCAGTGAACAGGATATTCAGGATCACCTAATATGGGCAGACCGTATGACTCCTTTTAAAGACAAAGGAATGTGACTACAGTTGATGCACATGCTCAGTACATTGATGACAGTATCTAACTATCAGATACAACAAACACCTGTACTTGTATATGCCACATGGAGATTTCAGGCCTACTAAATTTTGAACCATGTTGAAATCCCATCACATGGAAATCGTATGAACCAGTTACCATAATTGGGCAGAAATAGATGGGGGAGGGGGAAGGTTCAATGCATAGGAAGAGGAAAACATTTATAGTGAGAGAGAAGTATGAGTGGGGAAAATAAAGGGGGGTTCAGAGTATATGTCATATACGGAAGGTTCTCCATTGTGTGGATAAATATACTGCGCCGACCAAACCATTGAACATGATAGTAACCATCAGGTGACTAATCATAATCAGAAAAAAGTTCAAGACATATCAAGTAGTAATAATAGAGTAAGATAATTGGTGTTATGGACAAAATACTTGAAAGGATAAAATGAATTTTTTACTGTGTACATGTGTACTCTATTTATTCTGTAAATTCCTCCCATCCGGCTACCCTCCTCCCTTTCCCATCGAGCAAGCCTTGTGTAACAAATTCCTGTGTTAAAAGAACAGCTTCCTTTACTAACTCTTCCCCCACTTCCTTTGTGCAAGCTAACAGCTATGTGCCCTGTGTAACAAAATGGAGAATCAAATTAATCAAAGTTTGCTTTGATCTAAATCAGTTGGCGCCCGAACAGGGACATTAAGGGTTGTGTTGCTACAGAAGCCGCATTGAGGAACGGAGAGGAGATCCCCAGAGACGACAAAAAAAAAAAAAAAAAAAGAGCATGATCACCTCTGCATATGGTAAATGAGTAACCTACCTATATTTTCCTGTTTTTGGAATTGGCCTGTACTCCGTGTCTGCGCCCGGCTTCTCGTGGATAACGTCATTAACAGGTATATAGTTTGCCCGAATGTCCCCTTTATTTGAATAGAACCTGTCAATTATCTATCTACATCCTGAGTGTGAGTTTTATGTGTGAAGGTGTCTGCTCAAGAAGCTGAGCTAAAAGTCCTCACTGTAGCATGCCAAATGTTTGAAGGGAAGCGTGTTAATATTTACACTGATTCAAGATATGCTCTGGGCGTAGCACACGACTTTGGACTGATATGGAAGACAAGAGGTTTTCTGACAGCAACCTGTACACCAGTTAAACCTGGTACAGCTATCAAGGAACTGATGGATGCTTACTCCTTCCTGAAGAAGTGGCCATACTGAAAGTAAAAGCCCATGGAAGACGGAAGAAACGTGTGGCAATCAAAGCTGACCAAGCTGCCAAAGATGCTGCATGTCAATCAAGGGAAGTGGACAGAAGAGTGTTCAGTGAGGAAATTCCTATCTTTACCATGCAAACCTTACCTACGGACCTCAAGTTTTTGAAAGAACAGCAAGCAGCTGTAAGTCCTGAAGAAAAGCAAAACTGGAAACAGAAAGGAGCAACCTTACAGGATGGAGTGTATACTTGCAATCTCAAATTTTGTCTACCTAACAGTATGTATCCGGCTGTGGTTCAGTGGGCCCACGGAGCAGCGCACTTGTCTAAGACCCTCATGAACTCTTTAATTGCTAAATATTTCGCAGCACCAGGTATTACCACTCTGACATAAAACCTACTGTAAGTCTTGTGCTATCTGTGCCAAGTGCAATCCGGGAAAATTGGAGAAAGTTTTCCCCAAACATCTGGCGAAGCCACACTACCCATTCCAGAGAGTCCAAATTGACCACATTCAGATGCCAAAGAGTGGCCGGTATGAATATGCCCTAGTTATGGTGGACATGTTCTCAGGATGGCCAGAAGCTTTCCCGGTTACTAATATGACCGCCAAGACCACTGCCAAGCGGTTGCTCACTGAAATTGTCTGTAGATATGGAGTTCCTGAAGTGATTGAAAGTGACCAGGGCCCAGCTTTTACAGCACTAGTGACTAAGGAAGTCTGGGAAGCACTGGGGGGGGGGGGGTGACCCTTGCATTCCACACACCCCATCACCCACAGAGTAGTGGTAAGGTAGAAACACATGAATGGCACCTTAAAAGCCAGAATGCTTAAGATGGCCCAAGAAACTAACCTGCCCTGGCCAGAGAGTCTCCCCATAGCTCTGTTTAGTGTCAGGTACACACCAAGAGGGAAGTTTATCCTGTTCCCCTATGAGATTTTATTTGGTTCAGCCCCTAGGTTAGGTTGTTACTTTCCTCAACAACTCCAACCGCAATCAGATACTATGGTTAATTATGTGACTGCTCTTTCCCAAGCTTTAAACAAGATACATGCCCAAGTGTTTTCTTCCATTCCAGATCCAGAGTTTGATACAGGCACACACAAGTTGCTGCCTGGTGATTGGGTTCTGGTTAAGAAGTTCCTGAGAAAACATACCCTTGAACCCAGATATGATGGTCCGTTCCAAGTTCATCTAACCACGACTACCTCAGTTAAATTGGCCGGAAAGAACACTTGGATACACGCTTCACATTGCAAAAGAAGTTCCAGCTCCAGAGGAAGCAGATCCTGTTATATCATGAATTTTGTGTATTTATTCTTGATGCTAGGTCTGATAAAGGCCCAACGAGTCGCTATAACCAAAGACAATCATGTTTACACATTTTGGTACAATTCCTCTAGTACACGGGTAGCCACATTTGCATTTGATTATTGTGATGTCGTACATTGTACATTTCCACCATCATTG